TATAATTTTTCCAAGAGGTGGCTGAGAAAACAAATGAATAGCCAATAAACTACGCGATCTACGTAATCAAACATTTTGCTATGATGACGTCATTTCTTTCCATATATGGTATATTGAATTCATCCAAATTTAACTTTTAATTCTGGTCGGAATTAAAATATAATGTGAATACCTTTAGAAAATGCTTTACCTCCAAAACTTGTTATGAATACAAAGGTAGTCTTTTAAATAGTAAAAATTACATCGCATAAAATTATTTTATCTTGTTATCTAACATATTTCTTAATAAATAAATTTTATTATCTTCACCAACTTACACCAACTTTTACTCGTTTGAACATTTATTTAGTTATACAATGGTACCAGCGACTTGGACAACCAGGAAAAAGATAAATATTTATTTTTTTTTATCACCATGAATATAAGAAGAAACCCTATGATTTTAGATATTCAAACATTCCTTAAACCATCATTCGCTTTATTATGCAATACTTATCCAATTGAATATATAAACAGCTATCTTTTATTTTAACTTTTCAGAGGTCTATCCGAAATATTGATGTCGGGATTTTTCTTTTTAAATTTTTCATCCATATTGACTAAGTTTTGTTTTGCAAGCTCTTATTGTTTTTTTTTTTTAAAAAAAAAAAATAATAATTAAAAGATTTGCGCAGCATTTCCTACGGTGGTAGATTAATTAGAATCAAAATATACGTTATGTATAATAAGTTATTCTGCTTCAAACAGGAAATAAATTAACGATAGATTAAGGAAATTACAATGTTTAACTTCAAAAATAATTGATTTTCCTATAAAGGAATAACGATCAGTTTTCATTATTAATTAAAAAAATCACAAGTCTTATTACAATTAATTTATTTAATAAATTTATTTTTTTTTAGAATATGGAGTTCTTATTTTTTAATTTTTATAAATTAAAAAAAGTTTCTATTCAAAATAGTACTGCAGAAGTTTCATTCTCATCCGGGGTTGTGGGTTTAAACTTGGAATTTTTTTATAGGTAATTAATTCTTAAGAAAGTTTCTCAATCAAAAGGACTTTCTCGACGAACGTCCCGTAAACAAACTTACAGTAAGTTAATTTGATAATATTTATTGAAATCTTTTTGAAATACCACGTGAAGCCTTTAATTCAATAATTATAATTTTATAGTATGCACTCAGAATGTGTTAGATACCAACCCAGTGCAAAATTAGAAGTAATTGCATCAAGCGTTATTTACTCTAATCCATTTGTACAAATAAAATTTTCTCAGTTTTTATGAAAACCCTGATGATACAGTAGAATGCTGATTAGCTTTTGTAACGCCTACTACTGTCAAAGCAAAATAGAGATACATAGCGAAATTTCAACCACATGATCAGAAAATATGATGTTATATAATTCGTTGTGGTGGATATAAAATTTATTAGTCGAATTTTTATGTTCATTTCAATCGGATTTTCTGATTTTAATTAAACTATTATTATTAACTGGTCCGAAGAAGTTATATTTATGAGTTCGTTGCGTTTAGATGCGCTTCATTGATAGGTTCCTTCACCTCTTCATTAGATATTTGAATTTTTTCAATAGTTTTCAAGTTGGAACCGGCGTTTGTATGACTTGTAAGTTCCCATTCTTTCTGTTAAAATTAGATGTACAGCTTTAATTATTCTGCTTTTTAAGAAAAAAATTATAAAAATATCATTGATACAATTTGTTTAACAAAGTTACGAATCCACTTGTACAATTCAATGTAAAGTATCCAATATTTAGCTTTAAATCAAATTTTAATGAATAGATGAATTTTAAGTCCGTAAAATGTAGAGAGTTTACTGGTTAATGTAACTTAATTCTTCGTAACACTGTAATCATAATTCATAAAACTAGTAAATCCAAAATAATTGGAAAAGTTGCCGTTTTTCGATCTGGGCATCTAAAAACATGGAGTTTATCAAATTTCGATCATTTAAGCTAAAAGTAAGATAACCACTTACTTAGTTGACTTTCCACCCAATAATACGTGTATAATCAAGACATTTCACATAGACTAATTTTTAATTATATTATATAGGGTTAGGTAAAAAAAATAAATAAATGTATTTTACCATATGTATGTTAATAAGTACTTCATACAAAACGCGTTTTAATAATACTTCTTTCACCAATATTATTGACAACTATGTCTGAATTTTACGAAATTATTGGCAGCCTTGAACTTGAAGAAAAGGAAATCGATAAATTACAAATTTATCTAACCAACAGTTTTACTAAGATAATTTCCTTCAATAGGAAAAAGGTATCGGATATTGAATTATTATACGAACGAGAAAGGAGTAAAAGGTCTCGTCTTGAAGCTATTTTAGATGCAAAGACTTATAACCTTTCCTCCTTGTGGTACATATATAAGACAACACACTGTCAATCTCTGTGGTTTGAACCCGCAAGAAAATCAATCTCGTTCGCTATACTACCAACTGGAGATAAAGAAAACGCATATTTTCGTAAAGAAATCTTAGATGGAGATAATTACGTTAAGGCTGTAAGGTATAAAATTACAACCCGATATGGGCATACTTTATTCATAATTCAGATTCAGAAATAAGCAGAAAATATAAATAAATAATCCCACCCATAAATGAAATGAAATTTAAAGTTATATGGTTAACTAATTTAATAGAAAATCTCATGGATATTTGGCAGCTTAATAATATTTTTTTAAAAAAAAACTAAGTACTAATGAAAATCTTATTCGTTGAAAATAATGCTTTAGGCGGATCTATTGGTAGTCCCTGCACTAGTTTATCTCAACAATTTAATGCAGAGAAACCGATTTTACATTGCAGGAATAGGATTTCAAAGTTGGTACTACTAACTAATAAGTAATGTTTATCGGTCATGTTGTTGATTACACACTTGGATTACTACTTTACGATATAATAGCATCCTATATGTGTGTAAATCAATTATTATTCAAACATGACCGATAATAAGGTTATTGAATATGTATGATGTAAGCACCGATCCTTTTTTATATAAATATTATTGATCACAAAAACTTTATTTTCTCACTTTTTTCTCCACTTTTTCAAAAAACTTTATAAAGAAATTATGAACCTTACAAAAGCCTCTCTACTTCCAACACAAGAGGAACCAATGAATTGCAACAAGCATCGCTAATTTCAAATACTAAAAAAATACTGCAAAGTGGCTTCGAGTTGTTAAAAGACTTAATAAAAGATTTGGTATATAATGATTCGCCTATATCTACTACAAGAAATCCAAATTCCTATAGCTCAAACTCAAACTCAAGCTTTTGCAACACAAATATTCAAAATTCAAGTCAAGTTAATATATCAGGAAATGTAAAGACTTCAGTTAAGGTACCTTTTAAACTACCTTATCACTCTAATTCCCCCAATGATTACTTCTTATGGCAAAAATCGAAAGCATTTATCTAGTACTAATAACCGAAATCCTTTTCTTGCATTAATAACAATATTATAATTAAACTTCCGCTGGTACCTCTTCAATATTAATCTAAAACTAACATAATTGTAAATAATATGATTACTTTATTATAAAGTGATCAATATTTGTGTATTCAATAATAAAGTAATCAAACTTTGTGTATTCTAATAATAAGTGAATGGAATTTGCGTATTTAATAATAAGTTAAACGAAATTAATTTATTTTAATATAAAAGTAATCAAACATATTCATGAAAAAGGATCGGTGCTCACATAAGACGTATAAAATAATGATAATAACCCGACTATTTACAAATGTAAGAAATTCAAATCAAGTTTTTAAATAAAATAGGAAAAATCAATAATATTATAATATTATATTATATTGACAAATCATTATGTCATGCACTTTTTAGCAGCATTATTTTTTTTCATGTTTGCTCTATATCTAATATCTAAATAATTAAAAAGCCGCAAAGTTTCGACCGATTGTAAAGTTTTGACGAGTAACGAAAATATCTATGAATAGTAAAAAGTTTCAAAGAGTGTTAAAACCTTTTTAACTATTACATGCTAGCATTATATTTTTGATTTTGCATATTCCAGAAATTTTTTATTTTATTTTTTTGTATACTAGAAAATCAATTTTATTTTTTTGATTTTGCACATTTTTATTTAATACAAATTAAAATCGCATTAATAGATACTTGATTAAATTCGAAATTCTTTTGCAAATTATATATATCTGTCTGTTTACATACAACTCTAAATGTACTCCATTGAATCATTAGGTTTGGGTAAATAATATGAGAATCTTCAAATGTAAAAAATGTAAATAATATAATTATTTATCTGATTATTTAAATATTTTACGTACAATTTTGATTAACTTATGATCATATTTGCATAATTTGAAATACTTCGTATTCTTCAATGAAAAACTCCTTAATTTCTCTGATTTCTTCTTTATAAGAATCCTTTATACAGAGACCTTCATCTCCATATACAACAAGATCTTTCCAACCAAAAGATGGACCACTATGGTTCCATTTACTTATAGCACGATTATCATAATTTACTCGACTAAGAATGCAATTTTCAGTAGATAACTTATTCTTAAATGAGAATATGAAACTTTCCTTAGTAGCACCATATCTTTCCTTAGTAATTTTAGGTAAATACTTCATAACGTTCCAATCAATAGGATTGTAACCACCAAGAATTTCATCGCTATCTTTTACTTTAATAATCGTTACGGTACGAGTTATGTTATCACAAAGTTCATGGAACTTTCCATATGTAAATCCATCACGAGATCCACGAAATAACAATTTAAATATATATGGATTTTTTAATTCGTGTTTGACATCTATTCTGTTAATCCATTTTGAGATTAATTCAGCATGTTTAACTGTAATAATTTTTGAATTAAAATTTATTAATTTTCTATTCATTTTAGTTATCCTGGATTTTGGTATATAGTCATTATCCAAGAAATATTTATTTAGATCTGTATATAATTCCTTTGGTAATACTTTCTTATATGGTAGTACTTTATGCAAAAATTCCTTGGAAGTAAAATTGTAGAATCCAATAAATGGTATGCAGTGTTGTAAGGTATTCTTCAAAGTATTAAAGTCATCTTTTGTATATTCAGAAGGATCAGAAGAAATTTCTGGAGTTTGAGCGATTCCCCATTTAAGAACATGTTCCCAAACTTGAACATCACTCGTTGAAAGGTTTTCATTTTGAATTATTGAAACCAAAGATTTTTCTGGAATTGTAACAAAATCAACGGACTTGAATATTTTTTCTGGTTCCTTTGACATTAAATTGTTGCAAAACTTTTGAAGTTCTAAGAACGAATTATGTTTGAAGCTTGTTTGATTTATCAAGTTAAAATTTTGTTCCATCCATGTTGCCTTATTTTCAATCAAAAATGATTGTAAGTGGATGACTAATTCTTGAAGACCTAAATCACTGGCAGCGACCAAGATATTTATAATATCTGAAGTATTATATTCCTCCAAGGAAAGTTTTGCGCCATAAATATATCTTAAAATAAATTTTTTTTTTGGTAAAAAATCAAAAAAAAAAAATGCATTTATAAAATGACTCGTACTATTTTTAAATTACCTTAAGATTATGTGAAAACTTTCAGGTAAAATATTTGGTAATTTAATATGTACCAAAGTTTCATCATTTTTCTTTTTATTGGCGGATAAAACTCTTTGCAAATATGAAGAACGATAATATAAAATTATCATATGAGCACGAAATACTTTTACATATGGATCCTTTCCAACTTCAATCGTAACATCGTAATATTCGTTATCCTCTAAACATTCAAGCAGATTTTGTGATAATTTCAGTAAAAACTTATTATCGGCCATTACAATTTCAAAAAAATAATATTTTGACGTTAAGAATAAAATAACCCTATTTGAAGTAATTTCATGTAATCTACTTTTCTTTTGTCACTCAACATACTCATTTACGCCTCTTTCATTATAGAGAGGCTTACTATTGTTGTGCTCTGTTATTTACGTTTGTTTATATTTATAAACAAAGGAAAGGTTTTAATATTGTGTAAAGTGATGTAAGAATTATTTAATAAAATCAAATAATCAAGTGATGCCTCAACCATTAATAATTGCTATCTAAAAAAAACCATTTATTTTTAAATATGACAAAATTAAGAAATCGGTTTTCTAATGCTTCCATCCTAAGTAAGGGTAGTTTCAGTAAAGGCCGGCGATCTACACTTCTGAAATCCGTAATAATATCATATCAGGATGTTATTAATGTTACATTACTATATTTTCCTTCAATTAATTGTTTATAAAAAATCCACAATCTGTTTTTATACAAATTAAAGTTGAACCTTTTCAAATTCAACTATTTTTACACCGGATTTTACATAAATTATTTCTAATTATTAAATTAATTTGTTTAATGACGTTATTATATAAGAAGTATAAGATTAATTTGAGCGATAAGCCATTCTTTTAAAAACTTGCCCTGAATTGTTCAACCAAGAAATTAAGTAAATAAAAATGTGGATTTTTATTACTTCACCCTTCAACTCTTGTCAAAAAAATAAAATAAAAAAGTATGTGGTGATTATTTACATTAGATAACGTCACTAAGTGACGTTAACCAATATAAATAACACCGTACAATATTGTTGTTCGTGAATTTATAAACAATTTGTATTTGTAAGCAGAAGGATTTAATTAGAGTATATTGGAAGTAATCATGACGCTAAATTTATTTAATAAGATCAAATTATTCAGTGTTGCCTCAAATAATGAGGTTAGGACGGAGAAAGTAATAGTATTTCAAAGGAAAGAGGAAGGATTTAAGGCGTATGTATGCAAAAAAAGGGGAAGAATGATGTTTTATTAAGAACTCCATGTCACTTTCGAAATTGATCTACAAATACTAACCAGATTTAGCGAAGGCAATTTATGGAAATATAATTTCGCTCAGAGACACCACCATAATTTCGAGGTAATTCGTTTTCGATATTTGCAGTTAGTCCTTTGAAGATTATTTTGCCAGGTTTGGCTAACTCTTATTATGAAAATCAGAAAGTAAAAGAGTTTGAGGAAAAATGAGAAAATATTTAATAACTAGTCATTCCCCACAAGGAAACCAAGCAATAGAAAAAATATTACTCACCAAGCCGTGCGGAAATTATATCAAAATCCTTGAATAATAGAATTTTGGTATTAGACGCATTTTTAGTTAGCGGTTTAGTAGTTTGGTTTAACAATTAAGGAATAGTAGCCAAGGCTGGCAGAATACAAAATGGCAAGATACATTCTGTCCTAATAATTATTTTTTTTATAAATACGAATAATATTCTAGACCCTCCTAAATATGTTCAAAAATGGGTAAGTTACGAGCATAGTAAATCATATAATCCATAATGTGATTTACAAACCTCCTAATGATTCATATATTCGTGTAACATTTATCATGGTAATATTTTGCGACTTTTAAATATTAAAAATTATTAATGTAATTTTTTAAATAATAACATATGAAACGTTGGGGTGATTTAGTCAACATAGTTTAACAAAACTATATATATTAAGCTATTTTATGGTATAATTTAAACTGTTTTATAATAAATTTACTAATAACGAAGTTATATTTCCCTTCTTTAATAACTCTGGAATCTTCTTATCATTTTTATTTCAATTTTTCGAAATACTCCAAATATCTTTCTCTTTAACAAAATAGATCGCTTTTTTTTAAAAAAAATTCATTAATACTCCGAAATTAATAAATTAAACCTTCTAAATAAAGGGGAGTATCATTTGTAATTTCAGGTCATTGTTCATAATGATTCCATAAATAGTTTATGATCATATTCAATATTAAAAATGCCTTACAACCTGTTGTAAATTTTCACAAAATCATATCTAAACTGTAAATATCAGATTCTTTTGAAAATGATGCACCATTAAATATTTCTAGTACAATATAAGGAATTACCACATATATTTCATTATTAAATAGAGTATTATTTGCAGGTTATCATAATTCTAGATCTCAAATTTATCATTGTTAACTATAATTATTTTGTTCAAAAAATAATATGTTTCCACTATGAATATCTTAATGTATGAGTCCTTTATTTTAAATCATTTCAAGTCTAATTATTAATAAAGGTAATATAACAAATATAATGATAAAGAATATAAATAAATATCCATTTAAAATATCTCATAAAATGGGTTCTTTACAATAAAAAGGGAGCAAACTACCAAAAAAAAATTTTTTTGCTTTATAAGCTAAATATTATTTTTTTAATAAAATAAGTTCAGATTTAATATTAACTCAAAAAAAATTGTTTTGGTAGTTTTCTTCTTTTCTATTACAAAGTGTCCAAATTCTTAATTATTTTATTTTATGATATCATTTTAAAATTATGTTGTAAATGATTATGCAAATCACCTTCTGATGTATAATTTGTTAATAACATATAATTATTTATTGTAAATCTTTGTAATACCATAATATTTTATTATATGATTAATATTAAAATTAAAAGAGAAGCTCACTATTTCAAGAAGAAGGAAATTCACTTACCAATTAGTTTCTAAGATCCAAAGAAGGCTAGTCTTAAAAGAAGAAGAAATGAGAACGTTAATAAATATTCTCAAAGAAGCTCATCCATTTTAAAAAAAGAAAATTACTTACTAGTTAGTTCTTAAAATCCAAAAAAAACTAATCTTAAAAAAAAGAAAAAATGAGAATGTTAGTAAATATTTTCAGAGAAGTTCACATATTTCAAGAAGAAAGAAATTCACTTTCTAATTAGTTTCCAAGATCTAAAAGCTGATTCTAAAAAAAATAAAAAAAATTAAAATATATTATGATATTAAAATATAAAAATTAAAGATATAAAAATAATAAAAAAATATATAAAATAAGAAAAATAAAATAAAAAAAAATAAAGTAAATAAAAAGATAAAAAAAAAAGTGGGAGCAGAAGTATTAAAAAATTAAAAAAAGATGGGAAGGAGATGAAAAATAAAAAAATTGAAATTGAAAAATAAAATCAAAAAAAAAATCAAAAAAAAAATTGATCGATAGCGTTTAAAAATAATATAATAATAATTAATCAAAAAAAAATCAATCAAAAAAAAGAAAAAAAAATAAATAAATCAGATTGATAAATCAATCAATTTTAAAATATTAATTTAATAATAATACTATTTTAAGTTAATTTGAGTCAATTTGAATTTAAATTGAGTCAAGTTAAAATATTTAATTTGACTTGAATTTGGCATAACTCGCAATTCATCAAGTTAAAAAATATAAACTTATTTTAATTTAAACTTAACTCAGCTTATTTAACTCGTAAATTAATTTAACTCATTTAAAACTCTATTTTTAAGTATAGATAAGATACAATTAACTACTAATTTAATTTGATTAAATTAAAAAAAGCAAAAATAATTAGTAAACTGAAATAATAAAAAATTACCTACTATTACTGTGATAGACTGATTGTACTGAACTGAAAAATATCATACTAAAGGAAGAAAAAAATAACTAAAAAAAGAAAAAAAAAATTAGTAATAGCAAAAAAAAACTAATATAAAATATAAAAAAATAAAATGAAAAATTACCTACTTATGCTATGATAGATTAATTATACTGAACTGAA